CTTCAACGGGAAGATTATAGATTTCCTAGGGATCTAGAGTGATTCTTCGATCGTTAGGAAAACGACATTATTCGGAAGGATTTTAAGTGACATTCTGTCGTCTTTGTCAAAATTCCAAGTGTTTTTCGTGACCGGTGTTGTGCCGCTTTTTTCGCGATGAGTTCGCTATCAGATGTGCTCAACCGCTTGTTAGAGACTCAGACATCGGCTAGTGTTAGAGATGCAGAGACACCCTGACAGGAAAAGTGTAGACCTTTAGGGAAATGCTTCAGAATTTATATAATTTAGGCTCTCCTTCAAATGGCCGAACGTATCCCAACGATAGCCACTCAGCTCAAGGTGTGCTCTACGGTCAAATCGACAATGTTCGGAACTTCAAGTGAGTATTATCGATTGCTATTGATTGATTTATCCTTTGGAAGTTTCACATTCTTTGGGCTCTTCATTCTGTTTGAGTAGACGCTAGCATTTGTTTCTTGACTCTTCGCAGGATGTACGTAATTGCACACGTACTGTGCAAATAGAGGATGGCATGGGGCGCCTAGTATCGAGTAGTCAAAGATCGTCGGCACAGTAACATTGGGAGTCAATTTGAATAGGATAGTAGTCCGATCGTTGCAGGACCTACTCTAATAAGGAGGTGGGCGCCATTTCAGAAGGGCAGTCCACTGGGTCGGGAATAGAAACGATTTGAAACCCCTGGAGTGTGGAGGATGAATCTGATTTTTTTTTGTGGAAAGTGCCGCGGTTCTGAATACGCACCAAAATGCCCCTCCTTATTGGACTAGAGCCTAGGGTAGCCCAATCGTAATCGTGCTACGCATACATCCGTCAGCTATAAAAATGTTGGCCAAATGGGCAGAGCGAAAAACAGTTGAACTCTAGCTTACCATATCTCAATCAATAAATGATCAAAATCGATTTCTGTTCGTATTTCCAGTGATTGGACCATATGGAGAACAAGTTGACGGTAATTATAACTTTCTTTATAAGAACCCAGCATGTGATTCTCTGTGA